GAACAAGAATAAACACCGGAACAAACCGCGCTCTCTTTCCTTTTCCTTTGCAGCTTTACGCGCAGCGTCCTGCCGTTTCCGGCGTTCCTGAGCTGCTTGCTGCTCTTGTCTAGTAGCTCGGATGCGCGCTTCATACTGCTCCGCGGTTTCCGGCGGACCCTGTGGGCGGAAACCTGGATAACCTCTCCCTATGCAAATGTCGATCGAGGTTGACAGTAACATGAATGATAGAATAAACTCACGCATATTTGCGTAACGATTACCCCGGCCCCGCAGCAACTCTTCAAACAGGAACCTGGTTTCGCCTCAGCGCGCTGCCTCGGGCCAGAGTAAATTTGCAACCTACATATAGAACGAAAGATCCTCCTCATAGTCGGAACCGTATTCATCATAGTCCTCGCAGTCGTCATACTCGTCATAATCGCCAACATCATAAGAACTAAATGATCCAAAGCCCGTTGACGAAGAGAAGCCATGAGAATGAGGGAAACTGTCCCTAGGTGGTGCAGAGATTTGATCGAAGTGCTTGAGGAGAACATTGTATGCCTCACTCAGGCGCTGGAACTGAGCTGTGGCGTCTTCATTACCCGGATTTTTATCAGGATGAGTTCGTAGCGCGAGCTACATGATAATCGTCAAGGAAAATACCTCAGCAGACGCAGTGGCACATACCTGTCTGTATGTGCATTTGACAACTTCTAGAGAGGAACCCTGGAAAACCAGTCACTAGAGAAGTAGATGCTACGAGAGTAGGACAAACTTGTTCCAGTCCCAGGACGGAGTAGGCTTCACTGACAGTGCTGTGTTTGTGTACCATCGCGTTCAAAGACCGCGCAGAACAAGCGTGAACGCTGTAGAGTGGCAAAAAATACGCGTAAATGAGACGCGCGTCGCTATAAATAGTACGCACACTGTCTTTCCTGATTTAGCTCCGAGTCCTATGGCTGAGACTCAAGTACTCATGATCAAGTGGCAGGCAGTAGACCACCCGGGCTTGCATTCATTGCAATTCTATATACTGCAATTAGAGTGTATTTGCTACGGTAATTCTTAGGGGTGGAGTCGCCGTGAAAGGCAAGTTTACGCGATTTAAGCAACGTTATTGGCTTGGGGCCGCTTCATCCCGTAGTAATTACCGTAGCAAATACACTCTATTTTTTTGGGGGGGGGGTCTAGTACGTAGTCAGAGCATTGTTTGAAATCCCCAAATTATTGAGCGAAATACAGGTTCCCCAATCTATGTTTAATAATCATGTGACCGAGCCATTAGTACTTGCCTCTTGTGAGGCCGAAGGAGAAGTATCTCCTCCTTAGTTCTACATAGAGGACATTTCTCATATCTTACCGGGCTCTCTTATCCTATTAAGCCAAGTCGCTGATGGTAGGCAACAAAGCTGATTGGATTTACGACGTTGCACCAGACCTGGGCATGAAGGGGGACACTCAACCGGCATTATCCGGGAGGAGCCCCAGGTAAACAACGTACATCTCATTCGAGATGGCCCTAATCCGAGACCTATCTTAGCATGGACACTTATCCCGGAGATGCCGTGTACAAAATTCAGGGAGAGAGCGGCGCGGTTCGGATATGTTGGTCTGTATGAGTCTTATCTTGGCAGAGATCACGAATGGTAAGAACATCGTAGGAACCTTGAAGAAGAGGATAGACTTACCGTTCACAGTCATCCCTCTACTTAATGTATTACACGCGTAAGACGTCATATTCAGACTCCACCGTATCTATTAGTGTACACGTGCAATGTCGAATTATCCATATTCTTGAGCTTAACAGAATCGATCACTACCAACTTATCAGCGGCAGATTAAAAGAACACAAACTTTCGGGGAGTTACCTTTTCAATTTGGATCGTCTGTCTAGCATTGCCTCAGCAAGCCGACCCTCTTTCTTTGCACGCTTGATCTGAGAGAGACCGAATGAATGAATGAACGACTATCATGGCTATCCAGCTCACCTCTTGCTTGTCTGTACCGGATACTACAGATCGTCCAGCCCCCCATGCCTGATACATACGACTGTGATTGCGTTAGGCGTGGATGGTAAAGTTAAGCAAATAACGTACTTGACACTTGCTTCATCACCGGACGGTTCCTCAACAATACCAGCCTTCTTCTTCTTCTCCTCTTCTGTTGCCTCTTTCTTGTAACGGCTCTGGATCTTGACCCAAAATCGTTCTGCAAAGCTTACTTCTTCACTGTCTCCTCGTAGCTGCAGAACTCCGCCAGCTGCTTCATCGACGCTGAGATACTTTTCATAAATGTTCTGGAAGGCGACCATGCCATCTGGTAAAATGACGGGTGTCCATTCCTCCTGTGGACCTCGCGCTTCTCGGTCGGCGGACACCAGACCATGCTTGTCGCACGAGAGGAACTTGCCTTCACCGACACCCGTGCGCAGGTTGATTGTGGATGCACCTGCTACTCTGGTGATGACCCAGACCTGAGAGACCTCTGTTGGCACGCGTTCCAGCAGACTCGCTTTGTCTTTCTCTTCCTCAGGTTTGTCTCTGTCAAAGCAGTGCAAAATGATGCGATTACGCGTGGAGTCGAATGTAACACATATAGGGGAAGGATCAGAGGGATGGATTATAAACGAGGGGCCTCGAATTTGGGTAGGATCGTCTGGAAAGACCCAAGCCTCGAGTTCTTGGTCGTCTTCCAGTTTGCGCCGTCGACCGCTCCGATCCTCGTCGTCGCCTTCGTTCTTCCGCTTTCTCTTATGTTTTTCCCCTTTAAATTTCAATTTTGTTGAGCGCACTTTGTCGGTAGACATAGATGCAACAGTGACTAGTGCAGCTTGAGCAGCAGCAGTACTGATGAGAGCCACCCCGAATGAACGAGCCAAACGATCGTTTCTCGGCGACTGCACGTGCTGACCACGTGTCATACCACATCGCATTATGCTGCAGCGAAACGTTGTCCTCATCGTTAAGCTCGTTCTCAAGACCAAAATGAAGTTCAGCCCTGGTTAGTCTTGATCTCTACTGCTGTCCGGAACTGTTATGCTGCTGGTGCGCGAAACGGGACGTTCATAACGGGTTAATGGGATGGATTGATTCTTGGAGGCGCAGATATGGCCCCTGCGCTGGTGTCGGTTGCTGACTAGTATGTTTCTCCTCCCAGATGTCTCATCGTCCCGCCGTAAGGCCCACAAGGCCCACTTCTCCGCTCCTTCATCTGTCCGTCGCAAGATTATGTCGTCCTCACTAGCCAAGGACCTCCGCGCGAAGTACAACGTATGGTTAATCTAACCCTTATTATTTTCTCTGCCTGACTCCCCGGTAGAGTCGTGCTCTGCCTATTCGCAAAGATGACGAGGTTCGCGTGGTCAGGGGGAAGTACAAGGGTCGTGAGGGCAAGGTTACGCAGGTGTACCGTAAGAAGTGGGTGATCCACATTGACCGGGTGCAGCGGGACAAGTCGAATGGTGCATCTGTGCCAATCGGTATTCACCCAAGCAACGTCGTTATCACTTCCATCAAACTGGACAAGGACAGGTACGTACTTCTGGTAACCCCAATCGCGGTCCATGTGCTGAAAAATGCTGCAGACGTGCAATCCTTGATCGGAAAGACAGGAAGAAGAACCCACCCCCGAACTTGACGCGGGCGGCCGGCGAAGACGTTGAGATGGTTGATGTGAGTACATTGTGCGACTGTAGTGTTGGTCTTACATGATTAACCTTGCAACGCAGTAAACTGTCTTCCCCTTCATCTGTATCCTCTGTTCCGTGATATCTTGCTCCCTCTCAAACACTTCATGTACTTATGCGTGCATTATTCCTATGACATGCTGCATGGTTATCTGGCATGTATTCGATGGGAGGTTTCGTGAGGTGGGACGCAAGTCTGACCGACGACAGCATGAAGAGGGATTGTTCTCTCGTCAGAAAATAACATCTTCGTCTTTACTGCTCAACAAATCTCTGCCCGTATTTTCTGTGACAACATCACGGGTTGGTGGAGTAATCTCCTCAGCAATCAGTTGTGATGCTCGTACAGCGTCCGCCGCTTGAGCGTCGCGCTTCTTCTTCGCTTGGACTTTCTTGAGACTGCGTAGAGTTCATGGGGGGTTGTTCATGAAGGAATGCCAGATCATCCTTACCGGAAGAACTCCTCTCGATCCATCTCATCCAGCTCGCTCACGATATACTTGATTGTGTTTTCCAATCGGGGAATGACGACATGTTCGATAGCATTAACTCGGCGGTTCGTTGCTCGGATGACTTCATCCAAGATCATGAAAGCCGTCTGGAGGGAAGCCAGCTCTACGAGCGTCTCAACTGCCTTCGCATAGACTTCCTTGGCTTTCAGTACTTGCTGACCACCACGGCCGAGCCCAGTAAGATTGAAATCTATCACTGGATGTAAGAGGACACTGGCAACCGATAGAGGTCCAAGCTCACCCGACCCAGCAACTCTGTCAACTTCGAATGCAGGCAACACCACACCAGAAACGTTCTCCTGCTTGGCCTTGACCTTAAAAGACGCCGCCTTCGCTTGTTCCCTCACGAGATATGATATATCTCCAGTGGCATAGGTTACTTCAGCTAAAGAGAATGAGGCAAGCTGCATGACCCTGCCCATCTTTCGCTTCGCCTGTAGTCGTGAAGTTTGTAGTATACAAGCACTCAGTGAGCACACAAGACTGTATCAGATACTCATGGGCACACCTCATCTACTTTCCGCAGGATAGCTCGGAAGCGAGTGGTTAGAGCATCACGTTTCTTTGCTAGTAACGAATGACCTGTCTGTGCCCCTTTCAGACGCTGCTTCGTGTTCGTAAGGGCCATCCGGGTCGGGAATATGTTTTCACGAGATCCAGTACCAGACATGGTAGAGGCAGTAGTCTGTGTGTCTTGTAGCTTGAAGCTTGAAGTCTGATCACACCCGTGTTACGAATGTCAGAGAGTTGCGACGTCATGGAATCAAATGAAAAGATGCATAGTATAATAATAGTTGTTCAAAGCGTCCAATCAGTGCGCCGGGGTAGCTCAGCTGGGAGAGCAACAGACTGAAGCTATTGCAATTGTGAGCGATCTGGAGGTCCCGTGTTCAATCCACGGTCCTGGCATTTTTGTTTTTGAGCTATGTTGATGCAAGTTGTAAACCGCCCTATCAACCATTGAGTACATGGCGGCAATAATGCCCTTCATTTGATCTTCATGCATCATGATCGAGCGAGACGTAATGTGCATCCTGTGACTGCGTCTTTTGACACTTCTTTAGAGACTTTCAGCAGACGAACGCTATGCAGCACGCGTTGGTACGTGTTTGCCCCTCTTTTCTAGTATCGTGCTTACCAGTTGGACAGGTCAGCTGAACAGGCAGTGATCTGCTTGGACACCTTCTACTGGGTTGGGATGACCCTTGGCAGAATTAACCTTGCCTTTCCCGCGAAACGGTTACATCTCGGCGCTTTGTCAATAGTCGGCTTCAAGTGGTTCTGCAAGGCTTCGGGCCGATTGTATAAACCTAACGTGGGGTACGCGCTGTGGGGAAAGAATGCCAGCATACCCAGAGGATGTCATCGAAGTCTTCCCAGAGATACCTAAGCACAACCACCGCGGACGCCCTGCCCAGGTATCTCTACGATGGCCGTGCTGGCTGCAAGTATGGGGCTCGTCGTGGCTGGACGAGCTCCTTTGTACAGTGGTGCAGCGAAGTCAAGCTGTCTAGGTGAGGGCTATGTTCAGCGTTATCACAAGGCAGCTCACAGCTAGCGCTGCTCTTCCTTGAAGTGACAAAGACATGGTATCGTGCATATCATTCGTCGTCGAGACTCTACAATGATCGTGCTAATGGTACGGCCAACGCCACGGACTCGCAAGGTTTGCTCACCAGAAGATCACGATAGCTGCAGAAAGAGATCTAACCTCGTTTATCGCAGCAACATCTTACTCTGCATTAACCATCGGAGCACCGACGGAGGTGTACCCGAATGAGCGGCGTGTGGCTCTCACTCCCCAGAATACTGCTCTGCTTCTCAAAAAGGGGTTCTCTAAAGTGTTAGTAGAACATGGTGCTGGCTTGCAGGCGCAGTTCTTGGACGAGCAATATGCGGCGGCTGGAGCGACTCTGGTGTCTCGAGACGACATATTCAGCTCCTCGGATATCCTGCTTAAAGTGCGACCTCCTCTGGTAGGAAAAGAGACCGAGTGCATAAAGCAGCAGAGTGCCATCATCTCTTTCTTATATCCGAATCAGAACAAGGACATCGTAGACGCGTTGGCAAAGAGGGAGGTCAATGCGTTCGCAATGGATATGATACCCCGTATCTCTCGTGCACAAGGATTCGACGCTCTAAGGTTTGCTAGATAATTTACTCTATACTATGTATTATTCATACGTTGTTGTCGTAGTTCCATGGCGAACATTGCAGGCTATAAGGCGGTTCTGGAGGCTTCAAACCACTTCGGTAGGTACATGACCGGACAAGTCACGGCTGCAGGGTGAGTATCGCAGCAGTATTCTAGATTCCACTACTTATCCTCTTCTATGTTTGTGTAGGAAGGTGAAGGCGATGGAGTTGCATGACACCAGAAGAACGCTAACGGTACCCTAGATTCCGCCTTGTAAAGTTTTGGTCATTGGTGCAGGTGTTGCCGGCTTGAGTGCTATCGCCACGGTCAGTTACCCAGGAGCCCATGTAACTGACGTGCTGAACACGCCTCATCACAGGCGAAACGAATGGGCGCCATTGTACGAGGCTTTGACACTCGGCCGGCAGCTTTGGAACAGGTCAAATCCTTAGGTGGAGAACCGCTGGAAGTATCTGTCAAGGAGGACGGTAGTGGTGCAGGCGGTTATGCCAAGGAAATGTCTAAGGAATTCATCGAAGCTGAGATGGCGCTTTTCATGGAGCAGTGCAAAGATGTCGATATTGTCATCACCACGGTAAGACAAACTATCCTTGTGTACCAGACCTCTCAGTCTACTTCTTTAGGCCCTCATCCCGGGCAAACCTGCACCGAAGCTGATCACGAAAGAGGTACGTGGTCAATGTAGCGTTCAGTCAAGTCTTTGATCGATGGGCCGATAGATGGTTGCAGCCATGAAGCAAGGCTCAGTGATTGTGGATCTCGCCGCCGAGACTGGAGGTAACTGTGAAGTCACACGACCTGGCAACCTCCACGTCGAGAGAGGAGTTACCGTCATTGGTGAGCCGCATTATTCCTAATAGCGAGCAGGAAGTAACTCGTATGACATGAATCAGGATATACCGATCTTCCATCGCGGTTGCCGACACAGTCATCGACTCTCTACTCGAATAACATCACCAAGTTCCTTCTATCGATAGGAAGAGATGGCAAATTCGTCATTGACTTGAATGACGAGGTAGTCAGAGGAGCAATTGTTGTCCATAAGGGCGTGATATTACCTCCGGCTCCTCGTCCTGTGCCGCCGCCGCCGCCGCAACCCACTACCGCGAAGATCGAAGAGGAGAAGAAGACTTTGGCTCTGACGCCCTGGCAGAAAGCTCAAAGGGAGGTGGCTGCTATCACTGCAGGAATGGGAACAGCAATTGCTATCGGAAAATATACCGCTCCTGCTGCAGTCTCCAATCTGTTTACCTCTTTCGCATTTGCCGGTCTGATAGGATATCGCGTGGTTTGGGGTGTAGCACCTGCCTTGCACTCCCCGCTCATGTCAGTGACCAACGCCATCTCAGGTACGTTTCCTTTTGCAAATTGGTTATTTTTCTTCATTCATTTTCATCATGCATCCTACAGGCATGGTTGGTATCGGTGGCTTGTTCGTAATGGGAGGCGGATATCTTCCTGGAACTATTCCTCAGGCTTTGGGTGCTGTGTCAGTGCTCTTGGCTAGTGTCAATGTTTTCGGAGGGTTCGTCATCACAAAGCGCATGCTCGACATGTTCAAGCGTAAGTCAATGTCTAACTTCCGTTTCGTGTTGCTAATAAACATCTCACAGGTCCGACCGATCCGCCAGAATATCCCTGGCTATACGGCATTCCTGCGGTTGTCTTCACTGGTGGATTCTTGGGTGCTGCGAGTACAGGCATGGCAGGTCTCGTCCAAGCAGGATACCTGACAAGTAGTATCCTGTGTATCGGTGAGCTGCTGCGTTGAAGCTGACCTGATTAATTTCGACCTAATACACAACGCCTAGGATCTCTGTCAGGTTTGGGTTCACAAGGGACCGCTCGACAAGGTAACATTCTGGGTATACTTGGCGTCTTATCCGGTATCATTGCTTCTCTGGCTGCTGTTGGATTCTCGCCCGAGGTTATGACCCAGTTTGCGACTGTCTCAGCCATTGGTGGTACAATAGGTGCTATCCTTGGAAGGCGAATAACACCTACTGAGTTGCCGCAGATGGTAGCTGCTCTACACTCCGTCGTTGGTCTAGCAGCTGTCTTCACTAGTATTGGTAGCGTTCTAGCAGATATTGACCATGCATCTGCCATGCATCTCGTAACAGCGTATCTTGGAGTCCTCATTGGTAAATCGCTTTATGGGATCTTGTAGGGTTGTATGACTTATTCTGGCGTAGGTGGCATCACCTTCACTGGTTCCATCGTCGCCTTCCTGAAGTTAGCTGGAAAGATGTCATCCAGACCGCTTTTACTTCCCGGTCGACATCTGATAAATAGCGCTCTGCTGGGCACGAACCTGGCTGCTATAGGGCCATTCCTATCAATGGCCCCTTCGGCACCAATGGTCGCTGCGGGTTTCCTGGGGGCCAGTACAGTTCTCAGCTTCATTCAAGGGTTCACTACTACATCAGCCATCGGTGGAGCAGACATGCGTATGTACTCTCAGTCTGGTTAGTTTGAACTTCATCTAATATCCGGACAGCGGTTGTGATCACCGTGCTGAACGCCTACTCTGGCTTTGCTCTTGTTGCCGAAGGTAGGTATTCGATTATATTTTCTGTGTAGAGAGCTGGAACACGGTTAACTTGTAGGTTTCATGCTGGACAACACACTACTAACCACCGTTGGATCACTGATTGGTGTCAGTGGCTCCATCCTGTCTTATATTATGGTACGTCCATTCAAAATATTTTGTTACCCGTTGCTCATTTGTGCTGTAGTGCGTGGCGATGAATCGCTCTTTAGTAAATGTGCTATTTGGAGGCATTGGAACACAAGCTACGTCAGAAGGGCCTAAGATAGAAGGGACAATTACGAAGACGTCTGTCGACGATACTGTCGACGCGCTTGCCAGCTCAGACAGCGTCATTTTGGCAAGTATCGTTTTTATTATTCAACTGGGTCGTAATTAATGTATACACTGCAGGTCGTAGGTAAGGAGTCTTGCATTAATTCGCTACTATTCGTGACACTGAACGCGTGCAGGCTACGGCATGGCTGTTGCCCGGGCACAATATGCGATCTCGGAGTTTGTATCTGCACTGAGAGCGAAGGGTATTAAAGTCCGCTTTGCAATTCACCCAGTCGCCGGTCGGATGCCAGGTCAATGTAATGTACTGCTGGCTGAGGCTTCTGTACCATATGACAGTGAGCCATAGAACTGCATTTATTGGCCGTTTCATTAAAACATTCTCTAGTCGTTCTGGAGATGGACGAGATCAATGACGACTTCAGCGAGACCGACGTTACCCTTGTCATTGGTGCAAACGACACCGTTAACCCGATCGCACTCGAGCCAGGCTCTCCCATCGCTGGCATGCCCGTCCTGCAAGCATGGAAGAGCAAACAGGTGATAGTCATGAAGAGAGGAATGTCTAGTGGATACGCGGACGTTCCGAACCCCATGTTTTACATGCCGAATACCAAGATGCTGTTTGGTGACGCCAAGGATACTTGCGAGGGTATGCTTCCGCCTGCAACGTACTTGAGGGAAACTGATGAATGTCTTATATAGCAATCAAGGAAGGCCTGAAAGCGAGAAGTTGAATGCCGGCTCATCGACCGTCTGGCTAAGGCATTGTCACTGGGAGGGTCATGTATTATCAGTGGAGCGCATCTTCATGCAATGAACGCCCGTGTAGTTGTTCAATTACATATTTTGAAGATAGACACGAGACACTAATGTCTCAGCAGTGATGTACACGTAGAATCAGGGCGAATCGTGTGCAGCGGG